TAACCAATCAGCAAATTGGTGCTCATAAAAAATTTCCAATCATAGCTTAGAGTCCAATTTCTTTGGACCTTGCAAATATTGGCAATATTCTTATACTCCCCAAGGTTCCAAGACTCAAAAACCTTTGGGTATTTTTTGTTTTTATTTTTGTTTTTTAACTCTCTGAAGTGCTAATTTCCCATGAAGTTGTTTTCAGAGTTTCAAAGATTTTCGAAAGAGTTTCTAAAATTAGCAAAAATGATTAATTCTCACAAAATCCAATGTTGTACAAACATATGTATGTGTGCATATAGGTATATATGTGTATATTATACATATACAGATACATAAATATATATATACATACATATACACTATGCTAATTGAATTCTATTGCTGAAATAGATCTTACTGTACCAGGAGCGGCCCCGGGAAAGGATCTCTCGGACACCTAATACAGGAGGAAGAAATTGATTTCAGCTGGGAGCAAGGTGGCATAGGTGCCTAACAGCCAAGCTCGTTTAACAAAGGGAGCTTTAGACTTTATATAGACTTATACTTTAGATGTTACACGTGGAAGAATCTTGGGTTCATAGTTTTAGGACTCACATGTGAAAAGGTTTTGGTTTACAGTTTCAGGAATTACATATGAAAGGGTTCCGGTTTACAGTTTTGGGACTCACATGTGAAAAGGTTTCTGGTTTGATCTCGTTTTAAGTAAAAATAGTGCCTTCTGGAGAGTTTCCCCAAGGCCTAGCCTATTGTTTTCAGGAAGGAGATTCAGGAGACGCCAGCTGGCTTGCTCTGTCTTTTATTGAGATGCGCGGTGGATGACAAAGAGGGGGGGACTCCCAAATGCCTGAGTCTTCCTCCTCATTACCACTTTCTCATTTCCTTCTTTTTCAGACTATAAAACCAAGACCCAGAGTAAACAAACGCCTCTCATTAGTTGCACAGCTAACTGGATTGGGTTCGGGTTCTCCTGACTCGTTCATGTTCGCTTCTAACCTCTTAGGGAATAAACTTTCTTTAGAAAAGACAGAATACTCCAATAAGCCAGAAACTTTAAATCAACACATGCAAACAATTTTCCAAAATGATTCAAATCAACTTTTCCTTCTTAATTTAACAAGATAAACAACTCAAAAATCTGACTTAGTGTGATGCTTGGAACAGGTTTGAGCAGTTAGGGAAACTGGGGTTGTCAGACTTTATGAACATCTGGGTCTATAAAAGTTCAAATAATGTGTCTTCGGCCTTTATTTTGCCAAGTAAGGACAGTTAAACAAAACTACTGTAATTCACTAATGTCATAATCTCTAAAAGAAAGAATATTTTTGTACCAAAAAAAACCTGAAAAGATATGATCCCGGAATAAAGGACTATCTCATAAGTGAAATAATTTTAGTTTTATGGAAAACTATGTATGTGAAGTTTACATAAACACCATTTTTTCAATCTGTTTTGGGCAACTTAGAAAGTTCTTCCATATGTTGAGCCAAAACTGACCTTCTGAAAACTTTCTCCCATTCTCATTTGCACGTTCCAGAAGAAATGCTAGTACCAGTGTGGTAACTAACAGTTGTGTACAAACAAGTCCAGTGTCAGACCTCTGGATTCTTAGGCAAGCACAGCATGTTGGCAGAGATAACCAATGATTATAAGAAGAACCCGTATCATCCGGGCACAGTGACCCACACCTGTAATCCCAGCATTTTTGGAGGCCGAGGCGGGAGGATCACGAGGTCAGGAGTTTGAGATTATCCTGGCCAACATGGTGAAACCCTGTCTCTACTAAAAATACAAAAATTAGCTGGGTGTGGTGGCGTGCACCTGTAGTTCCAGCTACTCTGGAGGCTGAAGCAGGAGAATCTCTTGAACCCAGGAGGCAGAGAATGCAGTGAGCCGAGAGCATGCTGTGGCACTCCAGTATGGTGACACATACTGGACTTCTCTTAAAAAAGATTTTAAGAGGACGAAGAGCAGACCAAAAGATCTAAAAGACAGTACTGAGGATTTCGAAAAACTTCTTACAAAATTCCATGTCAAAGACCAAATAATAATGCCAAATAATCATGTCGCTGTGATTTTTAAAGTGATGACAGAAGCAGAACTACTTGAACACTGCGTCACCTACAAAGTAATTTTACACTTATAATTTCATACATTTTTTATTGCATTTTAGGTTTTGGGGTACACGTGAAGAACATGCAAGGTAGATGCGTAGGTACACACGTGTCAGTGTGATTTGCTGCCTTCCTCCCCTTCACCTATATCTGGCATCTCTCCCCATGCCATCCCTCCCCAACTCTCCACCCCCCGCTGTCCCTCCCCAGTGTGTAGTGCTTCCCTCCCTGTGTCCATGTGTTCTCATTGTTCAACACCCGCCTATGAGTGAGAACATGCGGTATTTCATTTTCTGTGCTTGTGTCAGTTTGCTGAGAATGATGGTCTCCGGGTTCATCCATGTCCCTACAATTTCATATATTATTGATTATGTGGGGGACAAAAAGTGTTTTTTCCTTCTGCCCCAAATGAACTTTTTCTTAAGTTCAAAGGCTGGGGCCCTGTAACAAAAGAAAAGTCAACAAGATGAAAGCATATGAATTTATTTATTTGACAAAAGTTTGACACAGGAGACTTGATAGGGAAATTAAGACCCAATGAAGTAGTTGAGCCTGGGGGTTGATTTGCTAGCACTGATGAAAAGCAGAGTCATGAAGAAACCATAGGAGTCATAGGACCAAGGGTGTGAGTGAACTGAAGGGAACTTGGTGAGGCCTCTTGGTTTACATTCTTCTCTGTGCCCCTTCATCTTTGGAGACAGGGATGCTCCTTTCCCACAGGTATAGGGAGAGCACCTGTCACTCAGATGAAGTCTTCTGACCTGACCTGCTTCAGGGGAGGGGGCTGGGGGAAACAGCTCCAAGTCCTTCTTGCACATGCCGTTTCTCACATTTTTTCAGCTTAAAACATTCGCTATGCCAAGTGTCCGACCTACCCTCTGCGGGAGGACTGAGCTCGTTCGGAAAAAACCGGACCACAGGTTAGAAGAAAATCTTTAAGTTCAGGCTTTATTGAGAGGAAAGAGCCTCCGGGCGGACCAGCCGGGAAGGAGAGGAAAATGGCCGCCCTGCTCAGAGGAGCAGGGTTCTTTTTTTTTTTTTTTTTTTTTTTTTTTTTTTTTTTTTTTGAGACGGAGTTTCGCTCTTGTTACCCAGGCTGGAGTGCAATGGTGCGATCTCGGCTCACCGCAATCTCCGCCTCCTGGGATCAGGCAATTCTCCTGCCTCAGCCTCCCGAGTAGCTGGGATTACAGGCACGCGCCACTATGCCCAGCTAATTTTTTGTAATTTTAGTAAAGACGGGGTTTCACCATGTCGACCAGGATGGTCTCGATCTGTTGACCTCGTGATCCACCCGCCTCGGCCTCCCAAGTGCTGGGATTACAGGCTTGAGTCACCGCGCCCGGCCTAGGAGCAGGGTTCTTTTATAGGGGGCTGAAGGGTTGAGGGAGTGGGGAAACTGAGAGAGCCGAAGCAACGGTTGGTCAGTTTCGAACCGCTGGGCGGGGAAGCCGGGGAGTGCTGACGAGGCAGAAGCCGGGCGGGAGGTGGCTGCGGCCGGGCTGGGAAGGCTAGGGCGGTATGGAGAGTGAGAGATAAGGGAGCCTCTTTGTGGGGGAGGGAAAGAGAGCTTTCACGGTAGGGGCAGAGTTTTCCAAACACCAAGGTGTCCTATTTTGAGGTAACGTGTCCTGAGCCGTCATATATGTATGACAATATTAATGCATATTATCTCATATTATTTATGTATACTATCGCACATATTTCATCACTATTTTATGTTTACAGTCAAATCAGAACTATTTTCATAATAAAAAATTACAGGATACAATGGGTAAAGTGTACGCTGATTGAGAAAGGGTGAAGTTCATGTGAGTCCTCAGATGTCACAGATTTTAAATCATGTGTCTTTGCTCTTGCTCCTCTTTCTGCCCTAAATGACCGTTACCTCTTTATACGCACACGAAAGGCCTCATTTCCGGGTCCCGTTCATTGCTGTTTCAAACTCGTCTCACCTGTGCTTTACACAACGGTATTATTGCACCTACTGTTGAGTTTTGTTTATATCTGTTTCTGTGGCATACCAGAAGACTCTCGAGGGAAGAACTGAATCTTACTATTTTATGTATTTTCTATCCCATCTCGAGTTCTCTGTCCCCTTCTTCGGGACATCCTCCTTCCAGCTAGGGTAAATGCTGGTACGCGGTTGGTGTTACCCCAGCACTACATTCATTACATTCACACTTGTCGGTCTCTTCTGTGATTGTCTCATTTTTGCCTGCCTCACCCACTAGAGAACAATACCTGCCGTGGTGAATGGCACACAGTAGAGACTCCTGAAATATTGTGACCAGCAAAGATTTTTTACATAGAATTGTTAATAGAAGTGCAACATTTTATGGATTTCCTGGAATTATTTCTGGAGGCGCAGCTAATTGTAGACTTTTCAACTGTTACCTCAAATCAGATATTGTGAACTGCATAATGCATCATCACCTTCCAAAACAGGTTTCCCATTCAATTCTCCGTGTCTGTGAAGATATGATCCTTCCTCCATACCAAGCATGACTCCTAAAGGGGAGGGCAGGATCCTGCTGCGTGTCCAATGCCAGCACAGAGCTCTGCAAGTAGGAGGCACTTAAGTAATTGTTGAACAAAGAAAATCTTAAAACTTTGGGGTATTACTCAAAGAGTGTCAACTGTAGTGCTAATGTTTAGTTTTATGAATGATGAGTACCTGATGTTGCCGTGTTGCTTTAAACCATTTTTTGTAAATCTGAAATATTTCAGAAATTTGATATTGCGGTAAAAGAGCGTAAAATCTACCATCCTCATTTTTTTTAGTAAAATGCAAAAGATTCATTCCATCGTATATTAACCACTTAAAAGCTTTATTTTCTCTTAGTTTTTTGATATATAAATATATGGGGTACAAGAGTAATTTTGTTACAGGCATAGATTGCATAGTGGTCAAGTCAGGGCTTTTAGGGTATCCATCACCCGACTGACATCCATGGTACCCATGAAGTATCTGCTCATCGCCCACCTCCCTCCTACCACCTCATACTCCTGAGTCTCCACTATCTATCTCTATGTCCAGGTATGCACATTTTTAGCACATTTTTTATCTTAACCATTTTAAGTGTACAGTACAAACGTATTTATTATATGTACTTTCTTGTGCAACTCATCACTGGAGCTCTTTTATCTAGCAAACGGAAACTCCATATACCCAATGAATAAACTCTCAGCCACTGGAAACCACCATCCTCCCTTCCGTATCTGGATTTGATTCCTTTAGATACCTCATGTAAGTGGAAACAGAAAGTATTTGTCTTTTTGTGACTGGCTTATTTCACGTAGCATAATGTCTGCAATCTTCATTCATATCGTAGCATATGATAAGAGTTCCTTCTTTTTCAAGGCTGAATAATATTCTACTGCATGTATATACCACATTTTTATAATCTACTTATTTAACAGTGGACATTTAGGTTGCTTCCACCTCTTGGCTATTTTGAATAGGGCTGAAATAAATAGAGTCAGAATAAAATTGTTAAAAACCAAAGTTCATCTTTGACTCATGTGTCATCATGTTCTCATTATTTTTCTCAACTTTCTTCTGTCTCTGCCTTCTTTTCTTTTCTTTTTTTTTTTTTTTTTTTTTTTATACGGAGTTTTGCTCTTGTTACCCAGGCTGGAGTGCAATGGCGCGATCTCGGCTCACCGCAACCTCCGCCTCCTGGGTTCAGGCAATTCTCCTGCCTCAGCCTCCTGAGTAGCTGGGATTACAGGCACGCACCACCATGCCCAGCTAATTTTTTGTATTTTTAGTAGAGATGGGGTTTCACCATGTTGACCAGGATGGTCTCAATCTCTTGACCTCGCGATCCACCCGCCTCGGCCTCCCAAAGTGCTGGGATTATAGGCTTGAGCCACTGCGCCCGGCCCTGCCTTCTTTTCTTATTGACATTTTTTTCAAGTTGGTTCAGCTACTCACTGCCTCACATCTGGATTACTGAAACAGTGCTCTCATTTTTCTCTTCCTCCTCAGTCTCTTTGTACCTAATCAGTTTTTTACACTGCCCTCCAATAAGCCTTCTTAGAACTGCCATATTAATCACATAATCTCATGTGCACACCCTCAGTGAATCCTCACTCTCTAGAGAAAGCAGGGCCTGAATTATAATCCTCCTTCCCTTTCAATTTTATGAATGATTTCTCCTAATTTTGATTTTTGCCAGTTGCTGGGGTTCCACTAGGCAGGGAGATGGCAGAGAAGTGGCAGAAGGAGGCCCTGCAGAATGGGGCAGGTGAGACCAGGTGTGGTGGCTCATGCCTATAATCCCAGCACTTTGGGAGGCTGAGGCAGGCAGATCACCTGAGGTCAGGAGTTTGAGACCAGCCTGGCCAACATGACGAAAGCCTGTCTCTACGAAAAAAATACAAAAATTAGCCAGGCATGGTGGAGGGTGCCTGAAATCCCAGGTACTAGGGAGGCTGAGGCAGGAGAATCACTTGAACCCAGGAGATGGAGGTTACAGCAAGCCAAGATTGTGCCACTACACTCCAGCCTGGGTGAAAGAGTGAGATTCCATCTCAAAAACAAAAAAAAAGTGGGGGGTTGGGGAGGGCATGTGAGCTGCTCCCTCAAGGAAGACATCAAATAAGTTGTTTAGAAATATCATTTGGGAAGCCATTAGGCTGAAATGGCTCCAGTTCCCTGGCTTCTTACATAAGCAACTCAACGTAAACAGTAAAACAAACTTAAGCTCAACCAATCAGAAACCACCAACTAACCTCTAACTAGGCGGATTCCACTTTAATCAATCAAGTGTGTTCTTTGTCTTGCTCCTCTGCAAGCATCTCATAAAAGTTTTCCCTGCACACCCCTTCTGTGAAGCCCTAAGCACTTGTGGTTTGGTGCCACCCCGTTCATGAATCACTGGTTCCTCAAAGAATCTCTTTAAAATTTCAGCGCACCTAAGTTTGTCTTTCAACAGACTGTAGCCAAGATTTGGGGTTCCTAGAACAAAGCCAGTGAAACATTTGGGGTTAAAGTTAAGGCAAAAGAGGAGGAGGGGTGAAAGGAGTCTTACACACTCGCACGAACACAGTGACGAAGTAGAGAGTCACAGGGCTGTGAATTGCGAATGAAGTCACATCCATCTCCAGTCCATCAGTCAGTCAATACTCCCATTACAAAACCAAAGGCGGGAAACTAAGCTGGCTCATCCAGGAGTCAGGGACAGGGAATTCAGGTAACTCAGAGAGGGGAGCAAGGTGTGGCTGGTTCACACCTTGTGGGGGTTGAATAATTTTATGGGCCTTAATACCTTCCACCTACTCTTGTCCATCTGATCTTGACTTGTTTTTAAGTAATTAAACTTAAATTGCTGATGCATTATATTCTTATGTATGTGGTTTTTTTAAAAATGACCAAAAAATCTTCAAATAAATACAGATACATATACATGAACAATCTTTCCCATATTATTAAAAATCTATTTCAAACGTAAACTTTAATGCTGCACTATATTCCACCAAATGTATTTAACTGGTCCTCTATTTACTTGTATTTATGTGAATATCTTTGTGCATAATCTGCTTATTTCTAAAGAGGTGGGTACCTAAAAGTAGACCTGTGTGTCAGTAGATACAAACAACTTTAAGATTCTTGATACATATTGTTCAATTTCCCTCATAAAATACCTACCAATGTACAAGACCCTGGCTCTCTAGCCTTCCTAACTGAGCATTGTGAACCACTACTGTATTTACCACCCTAACCTCATACACAAATAAGATCAGGCAAGAGAGTGAATTTGCACAAAAAAGAACAACCAAGTTGATATTTCTTCTTGGTTGTTCTTCTTCCCAAATGATATTTCTAATAAGTAGAACAACTAACTGCAGAGAAAACAGATGTAAAGCGGAAGATAGAAGGGAGTTTTCTTGTTGATACCACAGAGAAATATAAGAAGATATTGAAACCATAAAACAAAACCAGAGGCTGCTATCAAAAAGGAGCAACGCTAGAAAAAGATATTCTTTGGTAATTAACAATATTATTGCCAAAATGAAAAATTTAATAGACATACTGAGAAAGATGTGTAAGCCTCTCGTAAGGTGTAGCCTCTCGTAAGGTGTAGCCTCTTGTAAGGTACAGCAAGAGAACAAAGGGCAGAAAATCCAGTGATTACCATCTGGTCTGAGCTTTCTGAACACTGAAAATAACAATATAGCATTCAGACACTGAGCTGGGAGAGAAGGGATGGGAAAAGGTGAAACATATGCATTAAGAATGTCCACTTCTTAAATCAATGGGTCGAGAAAGTTGGCAAAGCAGACAGGCTAACACATATTACTTAGAATTAGGAAAAGTGTGAACCAGAAGTATCTGTAGACAGGTCTCAATTTAGAAAGTCTATTTTGTCAAGGTCAAGAATGCACCTGTGGCACAGCCTTAGGAGTTTCTGACAACATGTACGCAAGGTGGTCGGGGTATAGCTTGCTTTTATACATTTTAGGGAGACGTGTAGTCAGTATTTGTAAGACGTAAGTCGGTCTCAAAAGGCAGGACAACTTGAAATGGGGGCTTCCCAGTCATAGGTAGTTCAGAGACAAATGGTTTCATTCTTTTGAGTCTTTGACCAAACTTCCATTGCGTACACAACTTACATGTGAAGTGGGGGTAGAGAAATAGTCATTTATGGCTTGAACTGGCTCAGTGAATCTGCATTCTCACTTAAACAACAGAACAGAAGCAGCAATCAGATATGCGTTTGTCTCAGGTGAGCAGACGGATGACTTTGAGTCTGTCCTTTGTCCTGCACCTGTGAAAATAAGCTATCAACTTACACTGCCAAGGTGAAATTCAACAGAACCGTTTTAGGGTAAAGACCTTGAGGCCCACAAGGAATTTCCTTGTGGGTAAACTGTGAGGGAGGTGTGTAGCTTTTCTCTCTCTGTATTATTTGATTTAGAAATAAAATGGGAAGCAGGTTGGCTTGAAGCAGTTCCCAGCTTGGCTTCACCATTCGACTTAGTGACTTTAGAGTCCTCAGATTTATTTTCTTTTCACAAAGGTGACCATCAGAAGAAACAAAACTACTGATCATCATCAGGACTTGAGGTTGCAAAGTCAGCAAAGGAGAGGAGGAGAGTGTGAGTTAAGTTCTCCTTTTATGTTGTAAGACAAAAGATGCTGCCCATAATTCCTAAGAATGAAAGGGATTTCATGTTATTTGCTGTTATAGAGGTAACCGTCAGAAATGCGACAAACTAAAATTGCTCATTTTAAATTACTATTACATGATTTGTAATTCTTCAGTATAGAAGACACATTAAAGTCTCCTCATGTGATCACATTATAAACATGAAAACTATATTTTGCAAAGACAAAGTGACATAGCGAGTTTCTCCGACACGCCAATGCACACTTAACATGGTATAGAAGCAATGGGTCGGGTTAGGAGGCATTTAAGTGAAAACAAGTTGAAGGTTAGGCTTGAAAGCCTTTATTCTTCAAGAATTTGCAAGAGACCCCTGAAGGAACCTGGGACAGGATTAAGAGAATGTGACTCTAACCCATGGTGTATTCCATGGGCATAAACAGGTAAGACCTGCAGTCAGGAAGCTTATATTTGGAGAAGGGGACAGAGAATACATTTTCATGGGGTGAGGGGAGCTACGTGGGAGGGAAGGAAGAAGGGAGGAGCAGCTAACAAAGCAGCAGGTTAGGCCAGAAATATTTGGCAGAGAAAATCTTGAAGATGGCAAGAAGGTGAATATTTTTACCGCAGGTTCACTTGTCAAAATTCTTGAAGAGAGCCAGAGGCCGAATTCAACAAATGAAATACTCGAAAAGTATTTTCTAGCTTTGTCCCGACACATTCTGTATTTGACATGAACTTCTGGCGATGACTTGACCCCACCTATCAAAAAAGTCTTTTGTTTCTTCGAAGGTATTAAGGCCCATCAAATTATTCAACCCCCACAATATTCAGATATACATACTTATTCTAGGAATTATTCCTCTGCAGGAAGAAAAATCTTTGCCTGAAACAAACATCTGTTGCCTGCCCATACAAAGCTCTTCTCCACTTCGTTCAATTTAGTGAGATCATACATATAGGAATGCGTTTTGTTATGCATTTATTATGGTTATCCATATTACAAGCAACGTCCCAGAGTCTCCCTGTCTAAAGCATTGAGGAGGAAGCTACATTGCGGCTGCCCTTGTATTCTAATTACACATATATTGTGTATACTTTGGAAGAGTATTCTCTTGCCTGTTGGCCAGAGGTCTCTTCTTTGATTTAACCGTCTTATTAAGTGAAATGAATGATTTTAAAAAGCATCTGCTGTCTGCTAAAAAGGGCCTATCCTGGTAAATGGGAAAGTATGTTGCCTTGAAGAGACAGGATTGCAGTAAAAGCGCCTTGCTTTATGCTCCAGGCAGCTTGCAAGTATTGCTCTCACACAGCATCTCCTCTCCCTCCCATACCTGAGGCACAAAGAGAATGAGACAAAGAGGCAGGGCACGGTGGCTCATACCTGTAATCTCAGCACTTGGGGAGGCCAAGGCGGGCAGATCGCCTGAGGTCAGCAGTTTGAGACCAGCCTGGGCTACATGGCAAAACACCGTCTCTACTAAAAGTATAAAAATTAGCCGGGCTTGGTGGTGGGCACCTGTAATCTTAGCTACTCAGAAGGCTGAGGCAGGAGAATCGCATGAATCCAGGAGGCAAGAGGTTGCAGTGAGCTGAGATAGTGCCATGCTGTACTCCAGCCTGGGTGATAGAGCAAGACTCCATCTCAAACAAACAAGCAAATGAAACAAAAGAAAATGAAGTGCTGGGTTCAGTGGCTCATGCCTGTAATCCCAGCACTTTGGGAGACCAACAAGGGCGGATCACAAGGTCAGGAGTTCGAGACCAGCCCTGCCAACATAGAGAAACCCCATCTCTACTAAACTAAAAATACAAAAACTAGCCTGGTGTGGTGGAGGGCACCTGTAATCCCAGCTACTCGGGAGGCTGAGGCAGGAGAATTGCTTGAACCTGGGAGGTAGAGGTTGCAGTGAGCCAAGATCATGCCACTGCATGCCACTGCACTCCAACCTGGGCAACAGAGCAAGACTCTGTCAAAAAAAGAAAGAAAGGAAGGAAGGAGGGAAGGAAGGAAGGAAGGAAGGAAGGAAGGAAGGAAGGAAGGAAGGAAGGAAGGAAGGAAGGAAGGAGGGAAGGAAGGAGGGAAGGAAGGAGGGAAATGAGAGAAAGAGAAAAATGTAAGTAATCAGCTCCTCTGCTATTTCAAACGGTTATTTGAAGGTAACCAGAGTTGCTCTAGAAACTATTGGTAGTGAAAGGTTAAGTATTCTTTCATCTCGGAACCTCCAATCCCTACCTTCTCTGTTGCAACTGCTAAGAAATACAAATGTTTTTCAATACAGCATCCCTCCTAAGTTTACTCTGGGCTGAATCAAAACTAACGAACTAAACTTAGAGAATTGTTTTAAAGAAAAAGTTCACATGTAAGCAGTCCAGAGGGTCACAAATGCCAATGAACATGAACCTTTGCTAAGGCATTGGGAAATTCCTTTCTTCTTTGTTTCAAAGACTAGGAGGAGGCTTAGTTCGCAAGTGACACTTGAATAGAATGGCAAAAACTTTTGTTGTCATCCTCCTCCGTGTCATCTGAGTAACTGCAGGGCCATTGTTCCTACCTGGCAGCCAGTGAGAACCAGTTTGTTATATAATCTGGAAGACTTTTGGGTATTTTCGATTAGGTAAAGATAGAGGCGAGTTTTTAAAGTGATATCTTGAGTTTGAGCATCTCAGCTTTTCGAATAGGTCTCTGGACCACAATGGTGCCTACAGCCAGGTACTCCTAGGAATCAATTAAATTTTACTTCCAGAAAAATTTTAATTAAAAGAGAAATATCTGAGAGGAGTGAAATTTGGAATACAGATGTTTCTACCAAAATTGGCACCTACAGCAGTTCAGTTGGTGAATTGCTCTTGGGTTTTTGTTTTGTTTTTTCAACAAGGTCTTACTCTGTTGCCCAGGCTGGGGTGCAGTGGCACGATCTCCGCTCACTGCAACCTCTGTTTCCCAGGTTCAAGTGATTCTCCTCCCTCGGCCTCCCAAGTAGCTGGGATTACAGGCACCCGCCACCACGCCTAGCTAATTTTTTGTATTTTTGGTAGAGACAGGATTTTGCCATGTAGCCCAGAGTAGTCTCAAACTTCTGACCTCAAGTGATCTGCCCACCTCAGCCTCCCAAAGTGCCGGGATCACCATGTGAACCACTGCGCTCAGCCACTTCCAAAGAGGCGGGATTACCGTGTGAGCCCCTGCGCTCAGCCACTTTCTTTTGTTTCTTCATCTCCCTTAACCCTTTCTCCAAGACCAATACATTACACCTCTTTTCACTGCTGTGCTCTAGGAATAACTTCACTTACAACATACTTTGCCATTCTACCAGGATAGTCTCTTTTTAGCAGACAGCAGATGCTTTTTTAAAATCATCCATTTCACTTAATAAGATGGTTAAATCAAAGAAGAAACCTCTGGCCAACAGGCAAGAGAATACTCTTCCAAAGCATACAGAATACATGTACAATTAGAATACAATGGCAGGGCTCTGTGAATATTCACCACGAGTTAACAAAATGTCAGCAAACCACCTGATGTCAGTAGACCGAAAAAACAACAACAAAGAATCCCTCCTGAACCCACTGGCTGTGCGGCTTTGAGTCATCGTGAATAATTTTAAGGAAATTGGCCATAATATGTCATAAGAGAAGTATGTTATCAAGATGGCAGCAGTAGTACTCTGGTGTCCGTTTCTGGGAAATTTGATTTGGGTTGTGAAGTTGCATAAGAACGGTGTGGGCATAACTTCGTCAATCTTACCTTTGAAAAGAGCAGGAAAGCAGCAATTCCATCTTTTTAACAAGTTCTAAGAAGCTGTACTGTTAAAGAATGGAGAATTTTATATGCAAATTCTGGAGAATTTATCTCGAATCTGTGAGAAATATTATGCTTTAATTTTTAGGGCAACAGCATTCTCCTCTGATAATTTTGAATTTTTTACTACTGTCACTAAAAGTAATTTGCATAGAGGGCTCTATGCAACTCTTATCACTTACTAATGCCCATGCAGGGCAGGGAAAACAGTTGCATATTTAATCCTTTTCTTGTCTCGCCAAAGAAAGAAAGGAGTGTTTAAGAGAATGGGCTACAGTCGGACTGACCTGGTTAAGACCATGGTTCTGTAGTTTACAAGCTGTGTGACCTTGAGCATGTGACCTAACCTCTTTTAGTCTCCGTTTCCTCATCTTCAAAATGAGGACTGTACTATTACCTATGGCGTAGACCAACTGGGAGCTAAACAATATAATACCTGAAAACTGCTTAGCTGGATTCCTGTTCATACTGTTATCATTTAATTGTTTTAAAACGTTTTCTCTTATCTGTGAGAAGAGGACACTTATTTTGACAAACTTACCATGTTGATGTGAACATAACAGGAGATAAAACACTTACACAAAGCTTGGTACCTAATATGCCTTCGATAAATAGTAGTTATAATGTTTTGTCTGACTTTCCAATAAAACAGCAGATGTAATTCCAAATATGGCTCCTTCCCAATGAACTTCAGAAATACTGCCATCTAGCGACACATCTTAAACCTCCGCCAAGCTTCCCTCTATTTTAGAAGCTGGTTCTAGGACCATTGTTTCTGGCTTGCTGAGGAAATAGGCGCTCTCAGTCCTTTGAAGGTGCACTTTGGAAAAGATCGGTCACTGGTGGCCTCTGCTGCCTGCCCCAGGCTCAGGCACCTGGATACAAAAGGAAAGAAAACACATTGAAAACATCAGTTCTGTGTGTTCTTGGGTTCTAACAAGCCATTTGCTTCTCTCTTAACTGTTCATGCTGACTGAGCCGTGAAAACCGCATTGCCTTAAGCAAAATCAACCTGAATATTAATGAAAAATCAATACAAAAAGCCACATCACAAAGAATTAGCTAAGGCATTACTTCACAAAGTCATAGTATGGTAAGCTCGTCTTGGAGTGGAGGGTAGTTAAAACAGCTAAGGAGGAGCCCTGGCACCTGTAACTGGAGGCCAGAGGAGGAGGGGTGTCTTGGCTAAACCACAGTGCACTGGGGTGCCATCGAGACCACAGACTCCCAGTGGCATTTGTGTGTTCATGAACTAGGACAGAAATTGCTCCAAAATGAGCTGGGCGGGCTAGCCCTCATCTAAACAGCAAACACAGAAAGGTGATAAATAGTACCTTAGTACCATTTGCCTGAGTTTCATCCATAATATTTTCATAGTCTTGCTTTTTGCAGGCAAGCAGATTTTGCCAAAGAGTTTCTCCAGCTTTAGATATTTTGGATGTTTTCCAATTTAGTGATAACCTTCGGAATCTTTTGCTTCTATTACCCTGATATTACAAGTAAAATGTCTAACATAGAGATACAGAAGGAAGTCAGGCCTCAATTGCCTAGATTTCTATTTATACTTTCTGCTTGACCTTTCAGTATGAGACCCTGGTCTTAAACTCTTGGCCCCATCCTCACTTCTTCAAGAAGCCTCAGCTGACCTCCTTAATGAGGCCGGATTTTCTAGCGATGTTCTCGTGGAACTAAGCTTCCACTTTCTTAGCACTTACTTACATTCTATTACATGACTTTACCATTATATGGCTGATGTCTTGATTGATGTCTCTTTCATGCACTTGACTCTAAGCTCCATGAGAGCAGGGGTCCTGTCTGCTTCTGCCTAGCTTTGCATGACCACACGTAGCATAACCCTGGCCCAGTGCAGATGCTGAATAAATGAAGAAGGGGGAAATCACTTATTGCTGATACTTAATGACCCCCTAAAGCTAAATATGTTGCTGAACAGAAATGGACGTGTGCTAAAGGACCTTAGGACCCATTCACTGTCCATCTGCATGCTGGTTAGAAAGGACTTCCTCATACGTATCAGAGGTCGTTTTAGGGAGAAAAACGAGAACTATAGTACAAGAAGAGGGAAAGCAATACCTCATTCCTCTTTCTTTCTAAAACCAGATTCCACTTAGGGCTTATGTCAGAAGGTAACAACTTAATCTCCTCCAAAAGTAGACTTTGGATTTTATTTAAATGATCAAAATTCAATTTTATATTTGTGGCCTGAAATCAGTTGGGATACAAGTTTTAAAATAAGGATAGAATAGTTGTGCTACTTCCTACTATATTTCTAGTTCTTTACGTGATCATGGTCATTAAAAAATCACCTTACACATGAATTTGAATTGAAATAAAACTTCTTGTCTTGTTTTGGAAAAAAAGCAAGATGTGAGCATGTCTATGTAATTATGTAAAACAACCTCAGAAAATTTAAAGTCAAATAGCTTGACTTTTTCTAGAGTTTTCATATTAAATAGATAAGCTTTGTGAGAGAGGGAAAAATTCACTGAGGAGTCTATTTTCCCCCTTCAAGTTAGTTAAATACTACTTTTTCTTTTTTTGTTTTTGTTTTTTGAGATGGAGTCTTGCTCTGTCACCCAGGCTGGAGTGCAATGGCATGATATTGGCTCACTGCAACCTCCGCCTCCCAGGTTCAAGCAATTCTTCTGCCTCAGCCTTCTGAGCAGCTGGGATTACAGGCACCTGCCACCACGCCCAGCTAATTTTTGTATCTTTAGTAGAGACGTAGTTTCACCATCTCGGCCAGGCTGATCTCGAGTTCCTAACCTCAGGTGATCTGCCTGCTTCAGCTTCCCAAAGTCCTAGGATTACAGCAGTGAGCCACCGCGCCGGGCTAATTAAATACTGTTTTATAGATCCAATACTAAGATAACGGTCCATACAGAACAAATTGCTTTCCGGTCAGTACCCAACACACATGCAAGTCAGTTTTCACTGCATTGATAGAGGGAAATGGGGAAATGAGGTACAAAAGAACATAAAAAGCAATGGAGCATTAAAAAAAAATCCTTGTGTCAAGAAAATATCCATTTGTTTCCAGATTATGCATTACCGAATTTCAGTTTTGGCCTTGTCCTTTCAATTTAAAACAGTAACACTGAGCCTAAGCTATTTTCTGTGTTGCCAAAAATTCATCAACTATTTTTAAAATGGTAACATAGAGGCCAGGCACGGTGGCTCACGCCTGTAATCCCAGCACTTTGGGAGGCTGAGGGGGGTGGATCACGAGGTCAAGAGATAGAGACCATCCTGGCCAAAATGGTGAAACCCCGTCTCTACTGAAAAATACAAAAATTAGCTGGGCGTGGTGGCGTGTGCCTGTAGTCCCAGCTACTCAGGAAACTGAGGCAGGAGAATTGCTTGAACCTGAGAGGCAGAGGTTGCAGTGAGCTGAGATTGTGCCATGGCACTCCAGCCTGGCCCCTGGCGACAGAGCAAGACTCTGTCTCAAAACAAAACAAAACAAAATGATAACATAGAGTGGAGATACCAAACAAATGGCCCCTTTTCTGAAGGCGATTATATATTTTCATGAGTAGCGTGTTACATTTGTTATTGGAGAAAAGGAAACTGATTTCTTACTCTCCAAAGAAAATCCACTTTATTTTCGGAACATTTTTGTTTGAGAAAATTAATCTTCTCTCATTGGTGGGTGAAGAGGGACATGGAAACAAACAAACAAAAATATTTATGTATACATACGTATCTATTTCTTTTCATATTCAGTGTTCTGATACAGTGGCACATTACAGTCTATTCTGGAGGGCTACAGTGGATTATGGAACTTGAAAACCTCTACTTCCTTCTGCCTAATGACATACTTGTAATGGAGTCCGGTAAAATTAAGGGGTGATTAAGCATCGGACAGCAATAGTTTTATAGGTTTTGTTTGATTTAAGGAGTATAACAACAGTCTGGTATCATAATCTAGTTGTTGGAAATTATCTTTAAACACTCTGGCAGCCATATCAAATGAGTAATGTCCAAAACTCTTCTAAATGGGCTCGAGAAGCCATGAGCTAGATAGGCTTAGGAATTTTAGAAATCTCTCTCAGTAAGCAAGGCAGGACCTTGTATTATACTGAGCCCCGTGATATGCTGGTTCCTGAAAGACAAGCTTCATGTAATCACTCATGGTTCCTTCTTTAGTGTGTTATTCTGTGAGTATACATAGAATGAGAGTTCAGTGAATCACAATCTGTTCATGATGGTTCTAGCATTCTATCAGTCTCACATCTTAACATATGCGTTCTAAGATCATCGTGCTATCTCAAAAGTATGCATTTTATTTCTAGTTTTTTACCAGATTAAAAAAATCGTGGCCCGGTGCAGTGGCTTGTGCCTGTAATCCCAGCACTTTGGGAGACCGAGGCAGGTGGATCACCTGAGGTCAGGAGTTCGAGACTAACCTGACCAACATGGTGAAACCCTGTCTCTACTAAAAATACAGAAATTAGCCTGTCATTCCAGATGCTCAGGAGGCTGAGGCAGGAGAATCGCTTGAACCTGGGAGGCAGAGGTTGCAGTGAGCCGAGATCGTGCCACTGCAGTCTAGCCTGGACGACGGAGCCAGACTCCATCTCAAAAAAAAAAAAAAAAGAAAACATCTTTATAATGTGATGGCTTTTTGGATAGAGCTAGGACTTCTAGGACCCTTATAAACAGCGTTTGCTAAGCTGCATATGTGTCTAATCTGTCCTTTGAAATTAATGGCCCTAATTACATGACTGATGTACTTTACAGATTAAGTGAAATCACCTCAGTCTAATGACCTTAGCTCATTCATACCTGGCATGTTCTGAGTACTGTGGTTACTTTCATTTCTATGTGAGTGTATAGATTACATTATCACCACATCTTAGCCCATCAATCCCTAGTGTGGTCTTAGGGAAATAAAAGGAAATATGGGCAGGTTCAGGGCTGATAAAGGAACTGAAATTAGGGTTTCTACAACTGTAATGGTAGACTGATTCCTGTTTCAGAGTCAGACTGGCAAAATAACTGAGGGAAGAAGATAGAATTAGCATCAAAGAGGTAAAATTACAATATTTTCTTACCCTACACTGGCAACAACAGTTAAATTTGAGTTCTTTCCAATTCCCTAAAGGACCAGGCTTTCTCTTGGTTATAATATGCATGGATGTATTCCTAAGAAACTATATAATCTAAATTTGTACAAGACTAACTGTATCGCAAATACACAAAGGAAGTAGTTCTCTTTCCTAAAAAATAGATAATGTGAACTCCTGTGTCCCTTGTGTCTTGCAATTAGTTCTATAGTATGTCACAAGGAATTTGTTACTACTAACAGCTGAAGTATCAAGGTTTGTGAATTATTTACTTTAAAAAATACTGAGTGTGTGAAAGATTTTCCCTACAATAAAATCACATTTATTAATTTCCGTTTGACTATGCTTCCTTGAGTGGGACAGAAAAGGATGAAATTTCAGCCATTCTATTGGGAATTGTCTTAATCCGCGCCCTAAGTTTGCCAAAGCTCAAGTGGTCGATTGTCGGTGTGCTGTTTATAGTCATGGTGTGATAGTCACGGGACTGTGATGTTTCACTAGCGCCACAAAATTGTTTTCAGTTTTGTCAAGATCTAGGTGTGCTCATGGGGGTGTGGGGCGTGTGCATGTCAGCCCTCATGTGCGTCGAGGTGGAAAAAGAGACGGGAATAAATCCTGTTAAATCATTATGCACTCTTTAACATTTTTAAACTCCAGAGTTCTCTGATACCCTAGAGCTGGCCAACTGACCATGGAAGTAAGTCTGCGCTTACGCCTATCATAGCCTTTGATCATTCTACACCTGTAATTGCTTGTGGACCTGTCTGTACCTCTTGAGTTCCTTAAGGATGACAACAGTGTCTTACACAGAACACACCCAATAAATATTTGTTTGGTTAATTTCGATAGACATTATTATTTTTAAATCTATAAAATGTGAATTTATACAAAAGCCAAACAGGGGAGTCGATTAACTTTACAAATTCCTTGACAGAATGTGTGCTTAAAATTAGCTTAGAAGAGTCAACGCACAAACCGGACTTTTGTTTAAATTAAAAACATTTTTTTTCTTTACTTCTTAAATTTTATTTTATTTTATTATTTTGGAGATGGGGGGGTGTCTCACTGTGTTGATCAGGTGATCTCCAACTCCTAGCCTCAAGCAATCCTCCCATCTTGGCCTCCCAAAGTGCTGGGATTACAGGTGTGAGCCACTGTGCTCAGCTGATTCATTTTTTTGAAGACAAGCATATTTGTACTTATTCTAAAGGAATTTCTAACTCTAAGGAGTTAGAAGGAATTCTACTTACATTAATTTAATTGAATTGAAAAGGAATTTCTACTAGCATTAATTTACTTTAATTGAACCAATGTCGTTGAGTTTCTATTCTGTGCAAGATTTTATGAAAACATGATGAACTAGACATACATCTTATTTTCAAATATTAGATGTGAAAATACATAATCGTAATATAGCATGAGAAGGGTAGTTATATATATGCACATATATTATATATACATGCATGTTTTATATATATACATATGTATATGTAAAACATCTAGTTAGCCTAAAGGAGGGAAGATCAAGCCTACTGAGACAAGTTCTGGAAGTCTTCCTGACAGAAATGATATCTAAGCTGAAGCCTCAGTGATGAATAGTTGGTGATTAATGAACAAATCATGGGGAAGGAGAAGATAATCACCCTGGGCAGATAGCACAGCATCACAAGCACAAGCACAGAGACATGGAACATCATGGATGGAGACAGACGTGCCGGGGGAATGTGCTGAAACGTGGTTAGAGAGGCAGGCAGCAGGTTCCAGATGACATAGGGCCCACGCAGTATGACCTTCTGAGGACCTAGCACTCAATTCCACGGCCAAGCATTCTAAGCCTAATATGAACACAATTATATTTGTGTTTTCAGAGGCCCACCAATGTGGCAGGAGGATGACCAGAGAATGAGAATTGCCCTGGCATTTATTTTACAGATGATAAGGCAGGAACTTTTTTTAAAAAGCCAGACAGTGCCACAAGAAATACAGAGAAAGAGGTAGACTTGAGAAGGTGTCATGAAGCAATCGACAGAACTTGGAGGTGCGTGGTAATGGGGTGGTGAAGAGTATTACGGCAGGCTATTAGCATCTCATTAACATTTCTTAGATCCCCTAGACAAGTACTTCTGCACTTCAGCATCTCAAAATCACCCACGGAGCTGTTTGAAACCCTGAAGCCCAGATGCTTGAAGTCAAAATCTCTGGAAGTGAGAGGCTATGTCATTGTGATTCCAATGTGCAGTCAAGGCTGAGAAGTACTGGTATAGATGAAGACTCTTCCTCTAAGTTATTTGAGGAGAAAATGAGCGCTTAAGTGACGCATCCAAAGTCACAGAGAATGGGAAATAAAAACCAAGCCTCCCATTTCTCAGCCCAGTGATCTGACCATCAGATTGAATTACACCTAAGAACATCAGCAGATCATTAACCAGCACTGATGAACCAGGTCCATGGCATTGATTCATTCATACTCCTGTGTGCCCCACGCTAGCAGAAACTGGAAATAAGTCCACACTCAGAAATAGAAGATACTTTTACTTCTTGAGATGATGACGTTCATGATGATGAAAAATACTTTGAAAAACATAATACTCCTAAATGTAAAGCCAAATAACATACAATGCAAGATACGATTAATGCTAGAAAGAATTCAGAAAAAAAAAAGGAGAGTTAACACTGGAAAAGGTCATTCAAGGAGGAGACGAATCAGAATGTAAACTTGACATTATGAGTATTTCAAAAGACAATGAATGACATTTCATAATCTTTTAGTAGCAATCCAATTAATTCTGACTGGTATGCACATAAGTTAATTAGTATTGCTTTTACTAGGGAAGATTTAGTACATTCAGGGGGAGCTTACTGTCCTTGCACAATTTTTTGTTATAAATAAAAATGTAGAAACAGTATTTTATTCACAGAAAGATTGGGTCAACTGCAGAAAAAAAAATCCAATTAACAGTGAATCGAGATGAGTCATTATTTATAAGCTCATGCAGTTGGGAAGAATGCTTTCAAAGTGTTTCTTCAAACAGAGTAGATAATCTGCTTAACTGACATAGTGATAATATTCACCATGCCTATGTGTAAATATCATGAAAGTACAAATTTAATACTCAAGAGTTTATTTTGAAAATCTGAAAAGACCAATTTTCTATAATACTACAGTAATTCATCACCCCATGACCATCCTTCCTTTATCCTTCTCTCCTTTGTATGTGCATTGAACAAAGCTTTCATCTTTCCTGTGATATTATCCTCATCTTTTGAGTGTTAAATGTCTAGGTACAATCTACTGCCCTGTCCACTCCCACAAATGCCCAGTCCTGTTGGGAGAATCCACGGTGAGTGCCGAATAGCACAGACACTGGCCTCAGACCACCTGGGTTTAAATCCTGGCTCTATCATTTACTAGCCAGATCATTTTGAGTAATTTATTCAAAATTATTCAACCTCTTTGTGTTTCAGCTTCTTCACCCCTAAAATGAGAGTAATAATAGTATCTATCTCAAAAGGTTGTGGTGAAGATATTTCAATCAGTTAAGACTTCCAAAGTGCTTATAACAATTTCTGAATACAGCATGTAACCAATAATTATTGGTTTATTACAGTGTCCTGTGCTAGCAGGAGTTCAATTGATAGTTCATGGAAGGGTTTTGAGAGACAGATGACATAGAGATAAAGTGAAAGGTAGAAGCATAACAACATACACTACAACCAAGAAACCTTGGTCTTGGCCGGGTGTGGCGGCTCACTCCTGTAATCCCAGCACTTCGGTTGGGAGGCTGAGGCGGGTGGATCGCCTGAGGTCAGGAGTTTGACAGCAGCCTGGCCAATATGCTGAAAACCCATCTCTACTAAAAACACAAAAATTAGCTAGGAGCGGTGGTGTGCACCTGTAATCGCAGCTACTCAGGAGGCTGAGGCAGGAAAATTGCTTGAACCCGGGAGGCGAAGGTTTCAGTGAGGTGAGATAGCACCACTGCACTCGAACCTGGGTGACAGAGTGAGACCATCTGAAAAAACAAAAATTCTTAGTCTTTTTCCTGATGAGCTTCGTACTTGGAGTAAATTTCAAGAGAACTTCTGCAACCTCTCTTTCACTTTTATAGCTATAAAATAATGATGTTAGTACTTTCTTTCCCTCTTTAAATTGACATTAGGATTCGTTCTATAATATATAGATTGATGTAAAGAAACAGCAGTTCAAAAGTAACTTACTTTTAATGGCAAAAACTGCAATTATTTCTGCATCAACCTAATATTGTAGAATTAATATTTTTTGAAACATTTGAAGGTTGCATTCAAAACAGGTACAAAATATTATTTTTCTCAGTATCTTAATTTTTGTCCAAAGCTTTCAGAAAGAACAGGGAGCTCCTTCTGATGGAATCCTCAAAGAGCTGACCACCACATTTTTTGTTCGACTTGGCAGATTTGGAGCTTCATGGGTGCTAATTGTCTGATATGAATGTACATAGAGTGAAGACAGATGGAGGCCCTATCAAGAGACTGTGTGAAAGAACAAAGGATTGTGACAGTGCCTTAAGGAAAGTGGCATTGTCCTGACGCACCTTTTAACATGCCCAAATGCAAGCATACGTCTCATGACATTGTTAGCTATGTCTAAACATAAATTGATGCCTCGTTGAATTCAAAGTGCTCCCATCTCTAAGCTCAATGTCTTTAAGAGTGATAAACCCAAGGGCTGTGGAGGATATTTGGTGCACAGCCCTGGAGAATAAAAATGTATGTCAAACACTGATTTATTAAGTAATTTCTGTGAAAGCTGCACCTAAGAGATACATCACTGGGGCTGAGTTACTGGCGGAGGATGTCCCAAGCCACATGGAAGCATCCCAAGCTTCTTGAATTTACAGCTCGCTGAAAGAAAGAGGGGGAAAAGCTGCTGAGAAAAAAACCACTGTTCCATTTAGGTGGCTTGATAAATTGTGATTTGTGGCAAGCACGCGTTTCAAAGCCACTGTGTTTTATGAGTTCTTGCCTTTGCCTGTCACACAGAACCACGTGTTCTTGGAGGAGGGTAAGGGAGGGCTGCAGGAGCTCTGTGTCTGTCTCAGACACAGATGCAGAACAGCCACATGCATTTTCCACGGAGTGGCATCTTCCCCATCAGATCACTGTCACTCTAGGCCCTGAGCTATATCCCAAATCTGTGAAAACAGATATTAAACTGTTCCAAATGACATTTTCCATATGATTTCATTTCAAAGACTTTTAAAGCTAAATGGAACCTTAGAGATCGTGTAGTGACAACCTTCTCATTTTATAGATTGAAAAATGAAGACTCAGAGAAATAATGAGCCTTGGCCAAGACCACAAAGCCAGGCCCTGGTTAAGTGAGGACTGGAGTCCAGTGCCTCAGACCTAGACCAACAGCCTTCCCCTGCTTGAGCCAATGCCTGAATTACTGAAGTTGGATTATACTAATGCTTACTGCCCTTTGCTTGAGGGCCTGATTTATTACCCTAAATGCAGCTTATTAGGAAAACTCAAACACACAAACAAAGAAACAAAAAACAACAAAGGAGTGATGAGCCAGCCATTGTAGATCATAGTAAATGTATGGGCAAAAAGCCTAAAATGCAGGCTACTTTTTTTTTTTTTTTTTTTTTTTTTTTTTTTTTTGAGACACAGTCTTGCTCTGTCTCCAGGTGCCAGGCTGGAATGCAGTGGAGCGATCTCAGCTCACTGCAACCTCCACCTCCTGGGTTCAGGCAATTCTCCTGCCTCAGCCTCCCGAGTAGCTGGGATTACAGGCACATGCCATCACACCCAGCTAATTTTTATATTTTTTAGTAGAGACAGGGTTTCAGCATGTTGGCCAAGCTTGTCTCAATCTCATGACCTCGTGATTTGCCAGCCTTGGCCTCCCAAAGTGTTGGGATTACAGGTATGAACCACCGTGCCCCTCCCAGGCTACTTTTAAATAGGAATAGAATAGGCCAGGTTCTGTGGCTCACACCTGTAATCCCAGCACTTGAGATGCTGAGGCAGGCAGACCACTTGAGATCAGGAGGTTGAGACCAGCCTGGCCAACATGGCAAAAATCCAATTCTACTAAAAACACACACACACACACACACACACACACACAAGCTCCTCTGGAGGCTGAAGCAGGAGAATCCCTTGAACTCAGGAGGCAGAGGTTGCAGTGAGCTGAGACAGTGCCAGTGCCACTTTACTCTAACCTGGGCAACAGAGTGAGACTCTGAAAACAAATCAACAACAACAACAAAAATAGGCAGAGAATAATACTATTAAAAGGTTTGATTAAAAAGTGTTAGTTCTCAACCAGGTAACATACAACATTCTAGAATGAGGGGGATCAGTAAACATACTGTTGTGAAGATTTCAAACTCACTGGCCTCATCTAAAATATTTACAGTCTATTTCCAAATCTTGTTTTATTTCACTGACTTTCTCATGATTCCACCAGAAACACAGACCTAGTCAACCCCAAGTATTTCTTTCATGTCTATTACATACTGTGTAATATAATTCTCAGTGAGAAGCCGAAGAATACTTGAAGTATGTTTGAAAAACCAATGCAAAATTAGCTTTAAAAAAGCAACTTTATAATACCCACCTAAGATCAGATGTGTGTTCTAAACAAGATGCTTATTAACATAGAAATTGAGTTTCTGTTCTCACTCCTTTTTCTTTCCCACTTTCTCTCTATGTAAACATGTATGCTCACACACAAACATATCTGTGTAGATACATGTGTATATATAGATATATCTATTGACACCAAATTATATATGTGTGTATATATGCATGTCTACATATACTAGGATGTGTGCATATGTGTATTGCAGTAGTCCCATCAAAGTGGTGGATATATATGTACACGGACTGAGTAGTTTAGTGTTCTGGAGAGATTGACAGTTATATATATGGGTATGTGTGTATCTATGTCTCTACCTATCTATACCATCTTCCTTGACCTTGGCTTTGTTCCTGGAGCATAAAGTAGCCAAGGTACCAAAAAGCAAATTTGTCTTTGATTTTGGAATCTTAACTTGTTAAGGCTTTTAAAAGCTTGGAAATCTTTGAATGGAATCATCTCCCAATGTACAGTGAATGAAAAATCGTAACTGAAATGTCATTGCTGTGTAACAGACAACAAAAGTAAACCTTGAGTCTAATCAACTTTCATTTACCTTCCATCTTTCAGCAGCAAGTTCCAGTTTTCCCAAAGCATTTTCCTTCTGATGCTTAGAGTTATATGAAGCCAGGAGATCAGCTTCATATTCTGCAGGATGGTGCATTGTAGAGAATAAGAACAGGGCTGTTGCAGTAATGGGAGAAGGCAGCACCTACTTGAACTGCTTCACAGACTTCGATGTTTGTCTGGACCAATATTAATATCCGGAAGTCTACTGGCAATAAATTATATGCAGATCCTCTTAAACTAAACAAACAAACAGAAGCTATTTTTCCTCTTTGCATAAGTAATTTTATAGGGAAGAAATGACTGACTTTCTAGTCACTTTCCTAGACTCCATTACTGACTCTGAAATAAACTGACAGATTAACAGGAGAAAAAATATACAAACGTATTAATTTTTAATTTCATGTGCATGGGGACATCACAGGAAAGTAAGGGGAACACCCAAAGAAAATGGTGAGGTTTGGGAGTTTGTATACCATCTTAATAAGGGAAGAGGGGTGGGGAGGGGTAGGCCACGTGGGAGAGAGCAAATGACTTTTAAGAAAGATGAGACAGGCGCACTGCCTCATGCCTGTAATCCCAGCACTTTGGGAGGCTGAGGCAGGTGGATCACGAGGTCAGGAGATCAAGACCAGCCTGACCAAGATATTGAAACCCCATCTCTACTAAAAATACAAAAATTAGCTGGGCGCAGAGGCAGGCATCTGTAATCCCAGCTACTTGGCAGGCTGAGGAAGGAGAATCGCTTGAATCTGGGAGTCAGAGGTTGCAGTGAGCTGAGATTGCACCACTGCACTCCAGTCCGGGCAACAGTGTGACTCTGTCTCAAAAAAAAAAAAAAAGATGAATGGGCATTTAGAAGCATAAATGTGATAATAAGATCACTTGTGACAAAGTTTGCCTGGGTGTGGTATCAATTTCCAGCATCCTCTCGCATTTTTTTTTTGTTTGTTTTTGTTTTTTCTTTTGTTTTGTTTTGATAGAGTCTTGCTCTGTCACCCAGGCTGGAGTGCAGTGGTGCGATCTTGGCTCACTACAACCTCCATCTCCTGGGTTCTAGCAATTCTCCCTGCCTCAGCCTCCTGAGTAGCTGGGATTATAGGTACTTGCCACCATGCCCAGCTAATTTTCTGTATTTTTTGTGGAGAAGGGGTTTTGCCATGTTGGCCGGGCTTATCTTGAACTCCTGACCTCAAGTTTTCTGCCCTGTCCTCTCTTTTAATAAGCTCCAATCTTCTTCTATTGATGAAATTCCCAGGGAGGGGATTAACGACAATGGAGTCAATTTTGAAGGATCTGTCTTTAGGCAGATAGGATAATTCAGAGAAAGCCTCTCTTTGCATTTGCTGCTTTTCAAGTGCCCTCGGCTCAAAATGATCAATATAGTTAGCGCTTGGTTATCCCTGGAGATTGGTTCCAGGATCTTTGTCAATACCAAAATTTACCAATGTTCAAGTCCCTCATATTAATGCCTAGGCATAGTGGCTCATGTCTGTAACTCTGGCACTTTGGGAGTCTGGGGCAGGAGGATCACTTGAGGCCAGAAGTTTGAGATTAGCCTAGGCAACATAGCAAAACCCCTTATGTACAAATAAATTTTAAAAATATCTGGGCCAGGTGCAATGGCTCCAGCCTGTAATCCCAGCACTTTGGGAGGCTGAGGCGAGTGAATCACGAGGTCAGGAGACAGAGACAATCATGGCCAACATGGTAAAACCTGCCTCTACTAAAAATACAAAAATTAGCCTGGTGTGGTGGCACGTGCCGATATTCCTAGCTACTCAGGAGGCTGAGGCAGGAGAATCTCTTGAACCCAGC